TTTTGGCACTGAATCTAAAACAAGTTGAAATTAAAGTCCTAAAGAAATGTATTTGAATCAGCTACATCTCTCTCATCCTTAAATTTAGCCATCTGACATATTCATACTACAGAGTGCTTTGTCTTAATCAAGACTTTGTTTTGTGCTAGCTAAATTCAAATGAAGAGCACTTCTGTTTTTCTACTTAAGTCTCCTCTGGAGTAGCCCAATTTTCAAAGGCAAGTGCTCAGCACTTTATTAAAATCACTGTTTTCAGCGTTTTATCCTGGGGATCCATAGTCAGCAGCTGCTATAGTCTTTTTCTTGGTACTGTCACTTTCTAGCTCTTTCCACTCTCCTGACAATGATTCCTAGCCTGTCATTCAGACAGTTGTCATTTTTAAGGGATGCCTTTTCAGCCTCACTATACTCACTTTTCTCCCACGTAACCCTGTGAGCTTCATTCTTGTTCATACGCTATGTTTTTGCTCAGAGGTATACAAACCATCTGTGCCTCTAATACAATGTTCTTAAATAGCCTCCAGGCAGATCTCTATGGTTTTTAAGTATTTCTCTTTGCCCTTCAGCCTGCTGTTAACCATTTTCCTTATAGTTTTGTAATCTGCCCTTTTAAAGTTCGTTGTTACTATGTTGTCCCTAAGGGAACAACTCTTTTACGATATCAGAACTAAAAGCGTGCAGTGATCACTGCTACCCCTTGGAGGCTTGATAAAAACTTCCTCTAATAACTTCTGCCTATTACAAGGTAGCTCCCTCTTACCCGTGGCCTTACCTATTAACTGGTGATCCCTGTACTGAGGACTGCCATGAGAGTCAAGAGAAAGGAATCCTTTGCCATATGGACCAGAATGGCACCAAAGTCACTTTTCTCTACATCACTCTACAGAGAAAACCTGCCTTTGCCAGCTCCTGCTTTACCTTCTGCAAAAAAGCACGAACAAGAGGTCATGACGGGAGAAGCGCCATAAAATTCAATTTTATGTTATTTTCCGTACTGTTCCCATCCACTTTGCTGAGGAAAAAATTACTTTCTAGGGGCTGGCTCTAAGATTTTATTGCTTCTCAAAATCTCCGGGAGCTCTACAGGCAGTTACTGCCTTTTATACAAAACTTTTTAGCGCTTTTCTCTTACCCTTGTACTTGCTGCATCTGGAGCATACTTGAGGAAGTCTAGGAGCAGGGGATTCCTACAACACAGAAATGTTTGTTTATTTTTCAGACTAACTCCTTGCCCCAGGAATGGGCATAATGGGCTGATACTGAAGAGGCAGCTGACACACCAGCCTCTGCCCCTGGCAAACGCACCAAGGATTGATTGATGCCACCTTGCCAAGGGAAAGGGCTATCGGTTATTGACTGGCTTCAACGGATGACACTTGCTGAGCCTGCACATGGCACCTCTTCTGGTTTGCCTGAGGTAATGAGTCATGCTCAGGGAAGCCTCGTGCCCTTGAGAGCGCAAGCGACTCCACGCAGCCCAGTGGAGCATTACTTAGTTAAGGCGCTACAGCACAAGGGCAACAATCAGCCAAAATGATGACATTGCTGCTTCCTGCCTCATTATAAATCTGCAGTTGCCTAACAGGATTGTATACTGCAGCACGGTAAAAAAATTATTAATCCCAATGATGAAACTTCAAAAATGGGTAACATATAATTAAAACAGCTAAATACAGGCTTCTCAGGCTCAGCGTGTCTACAAAACACAGCCTCTGAGTCTCCAAGTGATATTTCCTGGGAAAGAGATGGACAAAAAAACTATCAGAATAAAATTCTCAGACATCTGTTCCTGTTTAGGCCAATGAAATGAACATCTGCTGACCCTACAAATTTGTTTTTACTTGATGAGAAAATTATTATCGAATAATAATAATAATATGGGAAGGAATTCCTGGGCCACCTCCTCATACTTATATTTTCTTGCTTACTCCATCCCATGTCTTTGCAATTTCTGTCTCAATAATGCAACATTTTTTGTTTTTTTATCACTTAAGGAGAGATGCCCTTTCTTCTGAAGACAGGGTGGTCTGATTCCTTGATGACAGGCACCAGGCCTGCCCTGAAATAAGCTGCTTGGATATCACCAGGAAGGATGAGTTGCTCTGTGATCCTTGCAATGCAACAAAACTTCCATTATAAGCAAGCATGGCCACAATACTACAAGGGTTCACCACTGTTTTTTTCCAGCTTACTACTAAGCCATGAATAGTGAGAATTAGCACCACTATCAATAAATGTTTTTAAAGACCTAAGGATCTGGGAAATTTCAAACTTTCACTATTAAAAACTGTATGAAATGACCATATTGGGTAACAAGCCACGTTTGACTAACTAAACTTATACTATGCAGGTTAAAAAGCTTATTTATCAGATTAAGCTCCTTTCACCTTGCTCCTCTATTGCACTTCTCTCACACTTAGCCAAGCAAGTTCCACAAGAAAAACAAGCAAAAACCAAAAATCAATAATCAAAATATATTTCCCACTACAGAAGGCAAAAGATAAAAATAAATAATTAGAGAGAGTCTGGAAATTCGTCCACTCCAGTCCCATGGTCCATGCACTCAACTTTGGCATCCCATTTATTAGAAGTTTCTCGTGGTTATTATTTTTTCCAAGGCCCACTGCTTAAGACGGGTGATTGCTCAAGACAGTTTCACATTGCTTTCCTAAATGAACAAGTAATTGTTCTCTTTAGTCACAGGTTCCACGGGGAGTTGACGGCGTGTATAATTTTCCTGGTGTGTCACATTAAGAACACTGAAATTTCACATGGTTACCTGACTGAAACGCTTTTGTGCATCACTCACACCTCTTAATAAAATATATCCAATTAATTATTGTTAAGTGAACCAGGAGTGAAATACAGTGAATACAAAGGTCCCCTGGTCAGAGCACTACTAATCACAGACAGAATAAAGGAAAGAAACTGTGTTTCTGTATCCACCTTTCTTCTCCCTGCTGTGTTGCCTGAACAACAACATGCCTTCCATTATACTATTTCCAAGCAAATTCAATTAATGTATTTGGCAGATGTCCGGAATGCATGAAGTCGCAGGGCAAGGAGGATGATTAAGCAAGAGTATTGCACCGAATATTCTGAAATGACCCTCTTTTTACCAACCTTCACGAGTCTTTCACCAAGAAGAGTAAATTTTGTTTAAATGCAATTATTGACTGGGTTCAAAAAGAACATCAATCTTATTTTGAATGTGCCAAATAAGCTAGATAGTTGGAAGGCCTCTCAAATTGTAAGGTAAATCTAAATTCCTTCTGATCCTTGGCAAGCATTTACCTCTTGATAACCATGTCTCTGGAACTGCCCTACAGCTAAAGTGAAGAGCTTTCAGTCTGCACAAGAAAATGTAGGCACGTGGATTTTTTGTGCTGACAGACAGAATCAGAAAAGTTTAGGTGAGTATTCATATGTTAACTCATTCTTTAAAATGATCCTCAGCAAGTTAGAATATTTACTCCATCCTAGATACACCACAAAATATTTCTTTGGTATACTGTAACTCTACAGGATCTCCCATGGGTATACTTAATTTTTTAAAAATATTTTCAAACAAAGTTTAACCATAGCAAATGAACAGAAAGACTAATGCTCAGAAGCCTTTGACTCAGTGTTTCTTTTTCTTGCCTATGTTTTGCTTTCTAGTTAGGTCATCATTCTGCACCTCTGGCAATTCTAGTATAAGACCAGTGCCACCTCAAAACTTGAATATCCCCTTATAGGTCTGCTTTTAATTTCCAGAAACCACAATATATCTATTTATTTTCGAAACACACACTCACAAAATTAGTTTGAAATAATATACAAACTTAGACGCTCTTATGCTGCAGGAAGTTACTATATACACAGGTAGCAATGATAAGAGAATTACAAGCTTTGGAGTCATCTGAGAGAAGGTTACTCCAAAAATCCCATTTTATGCCCTGAAAATTTAAATATATTTGGACTACACATAGAAAACACAATTTATTAATACCACATTAACAAATTAAAAACAGCTGTTTCATACAGCGAGTTCAGATTTGCTCCTCAATGAAGCTTTATGGCCTGAATAATTTTGAACATCTTGTGACACAGCAGCAAAACTGATTTCATAGCCCCACATCCTATAATTCTGCAGCAATCTCAGGTCTGGCTTACATACAATCACAGAACACACACTACACTACATTTACTCCAATGACAATAAGTCACTAGACCTATTTCCACCACCTTGTTCTCCCCAGCCCTATCAGCTTGCAATGTTATTTTTAACTTTAGTGTGTGCTGTTACATAAGTCACACAGAAATGGTCTATTTCAATGGTCACAGTCAAACAGTACATGGTCAAGTGAAGAATTTTTAAAGACGTTTTATCACAGCTGTAACATTTCTTGACTTAGACTTCCTGCTTAGAATTTCCTACTGTATCAAAAACAAGCAGTTTTTCATACATACAGATAACATACAGGTTTTAAAATAAACAGTTCCCAAATAATTATGCATGTATATATACACTTTGGACTTGAAGAAATATACTTAAAAAATGCTGAGCCCATTAAGCGTGATAACCAAAGAAGACAATCTCCAGAAGTTTAGACATCTTTCTTCTGCAGAGGCTGATACAATCAACTAGAATCAAACTCCTTACTTTGATTTCATTGATTGTACTAGCAAAATCAATTCAAATTAATGTGGTGCTTCTTGGATTGCAATCTGGATATGTACAGGTGAATTTTGTTGCTCCTTTGCGACAGTGAACAACATTGGCATACATGTTTAAATTCTCTTTTAAAAACAAAGACATGAGATACTGCTTATACAGTTCCATCTGAAATGGAAAACAGTGAGCTCAGTTTTGCTCTCACTAGTTTTATACTACGCTACTCTAATTGGATTGTAACAAAGAGCAGACAAAGTAAGACAACACTCAGTTCCTAAGAAAACAACGCTTAATCTTACTCTGTTCTCTGAAATGGTACGTGAAATATGAATTCATACAACTCCTAATCATCATTTTCTTCATCATCAAATGAGAGAAGACTGCTGTTTTTTATTTGCTTAACTGCACTTTGGGGTGTAGATGCTTCTTTTTTAGCTTTCTTCACCTCTTTTATCTTCTTACTTGAACTTACATTGAGGTCTGAACACTTCTCTGATGAGCGTTTGGCAGGCTTCCTGAACATAATTTTTCCATCAGCAGGTTCTGGTTCATCATCTATGAAAATAAGAGTTAAATCAGAACTCACCTTCATATGAATGATACATACACATGGAACTTCACTACTATCTTTTCTTTTTCCCCATAGGCAAAATCAGCCAGATAAAATAAATAATTAAGCAACAGTGAAAACATTGTGGGTTTTTCTTTTTTTGGCCCTAAAACCTCCACTGGGCTGATGCCCTTCATGCAAGTACAATTGCAGCATGGCAACCAGCACCTGAAGGCAGCCCTCCTCCCACAGCTGCTATTAGGAAGGGGGCTTTAAATTAGGAAAAACTAAAAGTAGCAGAGCTCTTCCCACACAATCCAGTTTCATCCACTTATCAAAAGACAACTTTATATGATCCTCTAACTCCACAATAGCAAATACAATTATTTCTGAATTATGGTACCTCTTTAAATGACTAAATATCACATATACAAGACAAATTTTTTCATTCATTTTAATAAACCCTGTCCTACAGAGACAAGTAAAAAGATCATGTGACCATAAACCTACTTTTTATTATCATAGCAGATGAATGTCTCTTCATATCTGCAAAGCCACCAAACTATGCCATGAAAACACATCAAAACCCACTAGTTCTCCTCATCTATATTGACTAAAAAAAAAAAAAAAGCTTTTTTTCAGGATTATCAGGCATACAAAAAAAAAATCCTCTAACTCCTAGACAAGTAACAGCAATTGGGCAGTATTACAGGGGGGTATGGGGGCGGAGGGGAAAGGGGAAAAAACAAAACAAAACAAAACTTAATTTTAAAGTCATGAATCAGAAGCAAAGGTTCATGCTGCAGTAGTTCACAATTTTTATAATGTATATGTGATGGATATTATGGAACCATAGTGGTTCCATGCAAACATTTTTCCTAAAGTAGTTTTCTGAATAAATTATTCAATAGAAATTTCCTAATAATATAGTAGTGCTTGACAAGATTATCTTTTATTTAGTTATAACCAATAAACACTTTTTGCCTTCAGCACAAATTCCTTCTTGAATTACCTAAGCATTATGGCAGAGGACTAATATTTTCGTGCTATCATACACAGTACTGGCTAAAACTTTTCAGTCCATTCTCCAAACGATAAAACTATTAGATCAACTGTATTAAACGTTTTGTGGTACACCTCAAGACATCAACTTATTTAGGAAACTTCACTTAAAATTCCCTTTTTTCCTTTTTTTCCACAGACTTTTTTTTTTTTTAAAAAAAAAGGAAGAAATCTAGCCTGAAGTACTTCCTTAAGGACTGCCAATTCTGTCAATGACTTCTGCAGAATGCAGATTTCTGCAGTAGTATACCGGGAAATAATACAAGGCAGAAAATAACTAACCGAATTTTTTGAATATACCTCAGTATTTATGCTCTAGAAAAGCATCACAGTTGCAAGAAATAACTAGCAATAATATACAGTAGTTATTAAAAGTATGTTTATCAATAGTTCTATTGTGAATTGTATGCAAAAAAACCTTAGATGTTTAGATGCTATACATGTAACTTTAAACTTGTACATATACAGGTTTAAGAACAGTCCACAGTAGCTTTGGGGAGGGAAAAATAACTACTTAATATATGCCATATATAGCCAATCAAAATACAGTACTTATCAATTCTCTCAGAAGTCATACTAAACTTTATATATATATATTTTTTCCCATCACAAACTCCATTTTGGGGTTCAGAAGCTTAATGTAAAATAATTCACCTACTGATTGTTGGTCAGCTACATGAGAACAAAGGGGTTTTTGTCTAGAAGGAGGCCCAGATTTTCTAATTTAACAAGCAAATGATAAGTCGGATCCTGGAGACCAGACCTAACTGTCTATATCCTTCTCTCAGCGAACACACAGACTGCATACAGTACCAGCTGAAGCTGTGGAAAGGGGCTTCAAAGTAACCAGCTAATGCAGAAGCATGAGGAGTAAGGTCAAAGTCTCTTTAGATGCTCTTACAAGAGTGGTCATTACATTTTCTTAGAATGGTAAACTTTTTTTTTTTTTTTAAAAAAAAAACAGAACTACAACAATCTAACAAAAGCATACCTGCAAAATAGAGCAGCTAAACAACTATGTACTCATACTCCACAGAAAAATGGAAAACAGGAGCTTCAAATTTCACTCCCAGCAGTCCTGCTATCCATGCTATGAACTGCATTAAGCCTTTCATTTTGTCCACGAGAAGCAGAAACCAACAGATAGCTTTGCAACATGAGTTTAAAATCTTTATAAGCAAAATGCATAAACAAAATGAAGCTCAGAAATGCCACTAAAAATGGCAACTGGGTTAGCTCTGCTATCTAGGGCCTCAATATTATTTGTGTATGATTCTGCAATAAAGAAGACCTGGCAAAACACTGACAAAATTTTATTATACATATGTTCAACAAAATTCATTTCAGTAGGAAACTCGGGCCAGCTTCAGACAGCTAAGATATGTCTGCAGAGCTTGACAAAGAATGAATCAGATAAGGAAAAATAGCAGGTCTGGCTCTATCTAAGCAACTTGTGTAGAGAGAGAGAATAGAAAGATTATGCATTTTGAAAGAATTTGATTTAACAGCTCAAGAATTTAATGTTGATTTGCTAGGACTGTCTTTTTCAGTTAGTACAAAGTCACCTTAGCTCTTTTAATTTTACTTGGCTGCTATACATCAGCTGCTGTTTGCATTGATGACCTCCAGAAATTGATTTTTAATCATAAATAAGCAGGGCAAAAGAGATTCAGGAAGCAACCTCAGTGTTGGTAACTTTTAAAACAGTATAAAACAAGCGCCTTGATAAAAGACTAGATAGTATTACAAATTAAGAAAAGAATTTCTGGTAAATGCATTAGAAGGTACGAGTTAAAGGACAACCAAGATACATCACAGAAGTAATAAAGTCTTGGCCATAGCTGCCAATGCCTGGATCACAAACACTTATGCTGCTAGACTGAGAGAGATTTATTCAGATATGGAGTTGAAATCTCACGTCACAAGTGACATCAGCTTACAACACCATGAATTCAGAAAGGTGTTTTCCCCTCCTTTAATTACAAGAAGTATCTTACAAGCAGAGTAGAAGTGAGGAATTGAAAAAGAAACACTGCTCTTCAGGTTTTGGGTGGGTGGGGGCTTTTTGTTTGTTTGGCTTTGTTTGTTTG